CACAGATAGACAGACAGACAGAGAGACACACAGAGACAGACAGGCAGGCAGACATGCAGAGACAGACAGAGAGACAGACATAGACAGACATAGACAGACATGCAGAGACAGACAGAGAGACAGACATAGACAGATAGATAAAGACACACTTTAGTTTCAAAGTGCAGAAAAGCACAAACATTATATCAAGAGGAAGCACTGTCTGCTGATAGAAACATTCATTTTCAGCTTTGACCAACTCAAAAAATGATCTGCTGATCTGACACTAAAATCTGTTTTTATTTTTGGTCTGTGAACGCCTCACAGCTAAAGGCTCCGTTCACACTGAATAATTCTTTCATTACACACTCCACAACCTGTTACCCATTATGATCCTACACATTTTCATTTGGAAATCTTTTCAGTCTTATTACTTCAAATGGTTTCAAAAAGATGGTTAATTTACTGTAATTTATCATATATCATATTTGTACAGCTGTAAGTTTTTATTTGTGCTGTGGAATTATGTTTTTCCTCAGTTTCAATTTAAATGTTTATTTGTCTCCGTGGATCTTACGGGCTAATTACAACAAAGATGTTTTATCTACTCTAAAGTTAATGGTCAATAATCCAGGTATAAATCCAGCAATGTTCAGTCAGCTCATCTGGATGTTTCTTTTGTTGCCGAGATGTTTCATCCTTCATCCAAAGGACTTTTTCAGTCTGAGGAGCCACCAAACCAATTGAATCCCACAAAGAGCTCACTCTCAGAGTGAAAAACAACAGTTTGCTGGTGCTAAGTGGACCTCCTGTGGCCATCTTAGCCTGTTTTATGGCCTGTTGGCCCGTTTGATCTCCACTTTTGAGAAAAAGATCACACATCAATTTTTAGCACAAACAAAATACATTTTGGTCAGAATTTTACAAACCTTTACCGCTTTAACATGTAAATCTGACTAAATTATTATTTTTTCATCATTGTCCACCATTAAAGGTGGCCAATTATGTCAATGTCCGTGTTCATTTGTCAGTAAAATATCTCACGAACTAGTGGACAGATTGCAATAAAATACTAACTGACTTTAGTGAACACAAAGTTGGCTCAACTTAAAAAGGTTCAGATTTTGAGATCATATTTGTTGTGGCAGTAGCTGAGAGTCATCCCCAACACACACTTCACGCACTGACAAATTGTGAGAGGTTTGTTTTGGCATGTCTTTGTCATTTGTTGCACGTAGGTCATTTAAAAGCAACATAGAAAGTGGTGGGTAATACACATTCCTTCCAGGAATGCTAAGTTTAACATTTTACTTTTAGAAATCACAGCTGGTAAATGAGCCTGGAAACACTTACATTCTACATAACGTTTACTTCTTTCCATACTTAACCAGAACCTGAAATACTAAAATCCGTGTGAATACTTTTTCTAATGTTTCAAGACTGTAGGAACTTGGCTGATAGCTTGGAAAGCCTCCTTCAGTGGAGGCCAGTCGTGATGTGGCTGCGCTCTTAGACCTCACTCACTCACTTCTTCCTGCTGTTTTCTGCGTCCTTAAGTAGCACTCCACACGCACGACTCTTTCAACCTCATCAGGTTGTAGCTACCCGTTTACAGATTGGCACAAATCTCCCACCGCAGGTCTGATGTCTGTGCTTTAGCTGCTTGTCACAATCACATTTACTGGTAGTTGTAGCCCTGGTATGAGGCCAGCATGACCCATCCCATTTCAAATTCTTGATGATCAAGCCACAACAGTTCGTGTGTGCCCCTCGTCATGGATAGCTCCTAGCTCCACCTAGGACTTCAACATCCTGCCACCATATTAAAGCACCCAGACCTCACTACAGAGGTTTAGTGCTCGAAACTAGAGCCTAATCGATATATCGGTAGGGCCGATATAGGCGTTTGGAGACATATCAGTATCGCTGATAATTGTCCCATTATGCACAGATATAAACAGCTGTGTACTTTTTTAATTGCAAAATACATAATTGTACAATGTATCCAGCAGAGAGTGCATGCAGACTACTTTCGTCATGGACGTTCACTTATGTTTCACTTTCAGCACAGCCGAAGCAGCGAGCAATACTGTGTAGAACAGTTTGCTGAACAGAGCATGGTAAGTTTATTTGAACCAGTATTTCCCCTACTATTATACAAGGAGGGCTCCCTGCCCTGTCAACAGAACTGTGTCCTGCCTACTGGACTGTCCCCCACCACCCCCATCGACAACTGATTCTTTGTTTAATTTATATTTTTGTAACACAATTGATAACTTTATGGTTTATAAAGAGGATAGAAAATGTGAACGCATGTTAGGAAGACTGTTTCAAGACTTCCAAGTGTTAAAACAGGTTTAAAAGTAATTGTTAACTTAGATTCTTGGAAGTGTATATAGCTACAAAATTTAAGCCAATATATCGGTTATCAGTATTGGGCTCCCACTCCCAATAACAGTATCGGCGATAGACAAAATTTCCATATCAGTTGGGGCCCTACTCGAAACTGTTGTAGACCTATCAGTCCATCATGTGTAATGTGCAGAAAATACTACACATCCTAGAACTCAGCAACATCCTACAAAGACCGTCATCAAACTGGAAAAAGGAAATGGCCCAGAAAACTACAACCAATACATTAATCATACACAACACAAAACAGGTACATACAAAAGTTTCCATCATACCTTCAAGGAAAACTTACTCAGCTCTCCAAGTCCCACACCTTTAAACTCCTAAACAGTTTTGATGGTATCAGACTGAAACCGGTCAAGTTCAGCATGTAGAAACTTTTTAGGATTTAAATATATTCTGTAAAAATTAGGTAATATACAGGTGCTGATCATAAAATAAGAATATCATGAAAAAGTTGATTTATTTCAGTAATTCCATTCAAAAAGTGAAACTTGTAAATTATATTCATTCATTAAACACAGACTGATATATTTCAAATGTTTATTTCTTTTAATGTTGATGATTATAACTGACAACTAATGAAAACCACAAATTCAGTATCTCAGAAAATTAGAATATTGTGAAAAGCTTCAACATTGAAGACACCTGGTGCCACACTCTAATCTGCTAATTAACTCAAAACACCTGCAAAGGCCTTTAAATGGTCTCAGTCTAGTTCTGTAGCTACACAATCAAGGGGAAGACTGCTGACTTGATAGTTGTCCAAAAGACGACCATGGACACCTTGCACAAGGAGGGCAAGACACAAAAGGTCATTGCTAAAGAGGCTGGCTGTTCATAGAGTTCTGTGTCCAAGCACATTAATAGAGAGGTGAAGGGAAGGAAACGATGTGGTAGGAAAAAAGTGTACAAGCAACAGAGATAACTGCACCCTGGAGAGGATGGTGAAACAAAACCCATTCCCATCCCAAAATGTGGGGGAGATTCACAAAGACTGGACTGCAGCTGGAGTCGGTGCTTCAAGAACCACCACACACAGACGTATGCAAGACATTGGTTTCAGCTGTTGCATTCCATGTGTCAAGCCACTCTTGAACAAGAGACAGTGTCAGAAGCATCTCTCCTGGGAATGCTGCTGAGTGGTCCAAAGTTATGTTCTCTGATGAAAGTAATTTTGCATTTTCTTTGGAAATCAAGGTCCCAGAGTCTGGAGGAAGAGAGGAGAGGCACAGAATCCACGTTGCTTGAGGTCCAGTGTCAAGTTTCCACAGTCAGTGATGGTTTGGGGCCATATCTTGGTCCACTGTGTTTTCTGAGGTCTACAATCAACGCAGACGTCTACCAGGAAGTTTTAGAGACTTCATGTTTCCTGCTGATGACCAGCTTTATGGAGATGCAGATTTCTTTTTTCCAACATGACTTGGCACCTGCACACAGTGCCAAAGCCACCAGTACCTGGTTTAAGGACCATGGTATCCCTGTTCTCAACTGGCCAGAAAACTCGTCTGACCTTAACCCCATAGAAAATGTATGGAATATTGTGAAGAGGAAGATGTGATACACCAGAGCCAACAATTCAGAAGAGCTGAAGGCCACGATCAGAGCAACCTGAGCAGAGACACAGACTGATCCACTCCATGCCACACCACATTGATGCAGTAACCCAGGCAAAAGTAGCAACAACTAAGTATTGATGCTGCACATGCTCATACTTTATGTTCATACTTTTCATGTTCATACTTTTCAGTTGGCCAACATTTCTAAAAATCTTTTTTTTTATTGGTCTTAAGTAAAATAATTTTCTGAGATACTGAATTTGGGGTTTTCAGTTATAATCATCAACATTAAAAAAAATAAACATTTGAAATATATCAGTCTGTGTGTAATGAATGAATAGAATATACAAGTTTCACTTTTTGAATGGAATTACTGAAATAAATAAACATTTTCATGATATTCAAATTTTATGACCAGCACTTGTATTTGTATATACAAAACATGCATGTTAGTCTGCCTTCAGGTCCAGGCTTCCCTTGCAAAAGAGATCTGTGATCTCAATGGGATTTGCCTGGTTAAATAAAGGTTAATAATAATATGCACACAGTGGTGCATGAAAGTTTGTGAATCCTTTAGAATTTTCAATATTTCGGCATAAATCTGACCTAAAACATCATCAGATTTTACACAAGTCCTAAAAGTAGATAACGAATGAGACAAAAATATTATACAAACTGGATTCCAAAAAAGTTGGGACACTTAACAAATTGTGAATAAAAACTGAATGCAATGATGTGGAGATGGCAAATGTCAATATTTTATTTGTAATATAACACAGATGACGGATCAAAAGTTTAATCTGAGTAAATGTAACATTTTAAATAAAAAATATGTTGATTCAAAATTTCAGTGTCAACAAATCCCAAAAAAGTTGGGACAAGTAGAAATAAGTGGCTGGAAAAAGGAAATTGAGCATATAACGAACAGCTGGAAGACCAATTAACACTAATTAGGTCAACTGACAACATGACTGGGTATAAAAAGAGCTTCTCAGAGTGTCAGTGTCTCTCAGAAGCCAAGATGGTAAGAGGATCACCAGTTCCACCATTGTTGCGCAGAAAGATAGTGCAGCAATACCAGAATGGTGTTACCCAGCATAAAATAGCAAAGACTTTTAAGTTATCATCATCAACCGTGCATAACATCATCAAAAGATTCAGAGAATCTGGAACAATCGCTGTGCGTAAGGGTCAAGGCCGTAAAACTCTACTGGATGCTCGTGATCTCCGGGCCCTTAAACGTCACTGCACCTCAAACAGGAATGCCACTGTCAAGGAAATAACAGAATGGGCTCAGGAATACTTCCAGAAAGCATTGTCAGTGAACACAATCCACCGTGCCATCTGTTGTTGCCAGCTGAAACTCTACAGTGCAAAGAGGAAGCCATTTCTAAGCAAGCTCCACAAGCTCAGACGTTTGCACTGGGCCAGGGGTCATTTAAAATGGAGTGTGGCAAAATGGAAGACTGTTCTGTGGTCAGATGAGTCACGATTTTATTTTTTTTTTCATTTAGCCTTTATTTATACAGGTTAGTCTCATTGAGCCACGAGAACTCATTTTCAAGAGAGACCTGTTTAGGGAGCACATGGTGGGGGTTAAGGGCCTTGCTCATGGGCCCAGAGTGGGGCGAATGAGGGTGGGGGCAGGTGTGGGTGTTTCACCTACCCAACCCACAATTTTGATGTTGTCGGGGCCGGGGCGTGAACCGGCGATCTTCGGATCACAAGCCCACCTCTCTAACCTCTGCGCCACCACTCCCCCATTTGAAGTTTGAAGATTTGAAGTTCTTTATGAAACACTGGGACGCCATGTCATCCGGGCCAGAGAGGACAAGGATAGCCCAAGTTGTTATCAACGCTCCGTTCAGAAGCCTGCATCACTGATGGTATGGGGTTGCATGAGCGCTTGTGGCATGGGCAGCTTGCATGTCTGGAAAGGCACCATTAATGCAGAGAACTATGTTCAGGTTCTAGAACAACATATGCTCCCATCTAGACGTCATCTCTTTCAGGGAAGACCCTGCATTTTTCAACACGATAATGCCAGACCACATTCTGCAGCAATCACAACATCATGGCTACGTAGGAGAAGGATCCGGGTACTGAAATGGCCAGCCTGCAGTCCAGATCTTTCACCTATAGAGAACATTTGGCGCATCATAAAGAGGAAGGTGCCACAAAGAAGGCCCAAGACGATTGAACAGTTAGAGGCCTGTATTAGACATGAATGGGAGAGCATTCCTATTTCTAAACTTGAGAAACTGGTCTCCTCTGTCCCCAGACGTCTGTTGAGTGTTGGAAGAAGAAGGGGGGATGCCACACAGTGGTAAAAATGGACTTGTCCCAACTTTTTTGGAATCCGGTTTGTACTTGGTAATTTATTTATTGAGGAAAATGATCCAATGAGACGTACAAAGTGTTTGTGATGGTAAAAGTTTGTGAACCTTTAGGATTATCAGTTAGTTTGAAGGTGAAATTAGAGTCAGGTGTTTTCAATCAGTGGATGATGATCAGGTGTGAGTGATCACCCTGTTTGATTTAAAGAACAGGATCTATGAAAGTCTGATCTTCTCAACATGTTGTGGAAGTGGACCATGGAGGAACAAAGCAGATTTCTGAGGAGCTCAGAAAAAGAGTTGATGATGCTCATCATGCTGGAAAAGGTTTCAAAACATCTGTAAAGAGTTTGGACTCCACCAATCCACACAGTCAGACACATGGTGGACAAATGGAGGAAGTTCAAGAGCATTGTTCCCCTCCCCAGGAGTGGTGGACCAACAAAGATCACTACAAGATCAAGGCGTGGAATAGTGGGCGAGGTCACAAAGGACTCCAGGGTAACTTCTAACAACTGAAGGTCTCTCACATTAATGTGAACGTTCATGAGTCCACCATCAGGAGACACTGAACAACAATGGTTCATGGCAGGGTTGAAGGAGAAGACACTGCTCTCCAACAAGAACATGGCTGCTCTTCTGCAGTTTGTTAAAGATCACATGGACAAACCAGAAGACTGCTGGAAGAACATTTTGTGGACGGATGAGACCAAAATAGAACTTTCTGGTTTAAATGAAAAGTTCTGTTTGGAGAAAGGAAAACAGCATTCCTGCAGAAGAACCTTATCCCATCTGTGGAACATGGTGGTGGTAGTATCATGGTTTGGGCCAAGAGAGCTTGCTGTCATTGATGGAACAATGAATTCTGAATGATATCAGAGAATTCTACAGGAAAATGTCAGAACATCAGTCCATGAACTGAATCTGAAGAGAAGGTGGGTCCTGCAGCGACAATGACACACAAGACGTTCTACCAAAGAACGGTTCAAGAAGAATAACGTTCATGTTTTGGAATGGCCTAAAAAGTCCTGACCTTTAATCCAATCCAGATGTTGTAGAAGGACCTGAATCAGCAGTTAATGTGAGGAAACCACCAACATCCAGACTTGAAGCTGTTCTGTACGGAGGAATGGACTAAAGTTCCTCCAAGGACTGAGCAACAGTTACTGGAAATGTTTAGTTGCAGTTACTGCTGCACAAAAAAATAAAATAAATAAATTTTAAATTAAAAAAAAATTATTATTATTTTTTTAATTTAAAACAAAAAACAAAAAAAAACAAAAACAAAAC